ATGTAGTAAACTGTGATTCCAAAGATGGTTAAGCTTATTTGACTGTAGTTAATATACTTTATTTAACTATAAATTTATGATGAAAAATATCAACTGAGATTTTGACAATAACAAGCCATACTATAATATGAGGCAATTTCGAAGGGATAATGGAAAACTGGAATTGAAAGGAAACGGAATGTTTTCACAAACTTTGCAAAGCCCCATCACTGTCTCAACCCAGATTTTTGACTGCTTTCAAAACAAGCTGTACATTTAAAAACTTCTCTATCTCCTCAAATCTGTGGCAAATCCTGCTACCTTACCACTCTTTTTTACATACCTAAACTGTTACAGACTGAACATACTTAATTCTTCATATGAAATTTATACACGTCTTACATCTGTTACAAAACCTCTCTTCCCTGACATGAGAGCAGGATTGAGGAACATTTTTTCTGCCAAAATGTATAACATCATTCGGAGGCCAAACAAAATTATCTACTTAAAAATTAGCCTGCTACATTTGGTCAAACATTTAATTAACTCACCCCTGTTATGGTGCTGCAGGATAATGCGCTTGTCTGCAAGGTCAATTTGATCTGCAAAATTGGCAGTTCAAACCCACCAGCTGCTCCTTGGACACCCTATACAGGGTCACTATTGGTAGAACTGACTCAGTGGCACTTAACAACAACAGCAATGTGATGGCTGGAATCCTGGTGTAGCACTATGAGATAAAGACTAGAGCACAAGGTAGGTTTGAATCACAAGGCTGACAGTTCAAACTCACCAGCTGCTCCTTGGAATCATTCTACAGGGTTGCCATGAGACCAACTGATGTGATAGCACTTAACAAAAACAACGATGTGATAGCAGGAATGGCAGTTGCTTTGACAGGGCCAGACCAAGTGATTTTGAGGGCCTTATATGGCCTCTCCAGCATCAGACTAACTGTCCCACTGCCTGTCTAAATCTAACACCCATTTGTATTCTGTATTATAATTCTCCTTTTCCTTTTCACGTAAATGAAACAAGTTGTCCTTGAAGTAATTCTGACTCAGCATGACCCTCTGAGTATCAAAATAGAATTGTACTCCATATAGTGTCCAATGGGTGACTTTTGGGAGAAAGTAAATAATCTGTATTTCATCCAAGGTACTTGTGGTTTGACTCAAACCACCAATTTTTCAGTTAACAGCAGAGCTTGTTTAGCACATGCACCACCCAGGGTCTCCTCAACTAAATTGAAATCATTTAAATTGAAATCATTCTCATTGAAAATTCTAGCTGTGTATCTTGTCTTCAGTTTTGACAACTTTCTATATACATCAGTCCTGCTTCTTCCTTCAATAAAATTAATTTTAATTCTAAGTTCATCACACAACAAAAAGGAGCTTTCTTTCAAGTCAATGATTTCACTGATAACATTAAATCTAAATGACATTTCCCAAGATTTAACAATAGAATTCAGTATTACTATTGATAGTTCCATGGATTCCATGATTTCATGCTTTCCTAGTTTTTCTGCTCCAATTTTTTTAACCTTAAAATTCTTTATTGTTGAAGAATTCAACTATATATGTTTTATATTTTCTCAATACCAGAAGTCTGAATGCAAGCCTGGTTGCTAACAACAAGGTCAACAGTTCAAATCTACCAGTCCCTCCATGAGAGAAAGATGAGGCTTTCTGCTCCCAGAAACCCTGTACAGGATCACTATGAGTTGGAACTGACTCCACAGCACACAACTACCACCAGCAGCAAGTTGTAGATCATGCAAATCCTCTATTTTTTCCTTGATGTTGTTGTTGTTAAGTGATGTTGAGTTAGTTCCAACTTATAGCAACCCTCTATAGGTTTCCAAGGAGTGACTTGTGGGTTTGACCCACCAACCTGGCAGTTTGCAATGCAGTGTTTATCCTACAGAGCCACACACAAAAATCCTCTATTTTTTTTTTTTTTTCTTATTGTTGTTAAGTACTGTCAAGTCGGTTCTGACTCTTAGTGAATCTGCATAGGGTTTCTGATTTTGGTGATTTGGGGTGGCAGATCTAGTGGTTCAAACTGAACATGCATTCTAGTGCTTATCCTATAGCTCCAAACCAGGACTCCTTTTGCTTCATAATCAGTACTCAATGATTTACCCATATGCTAGCAATATTCAAATTGATCGGTTGATGTTGTTATATGCTGTTGAGTTGGTTCTGACTTATAGTGACCCTGTTGGGTTTCTGAGGTGTGGCTGGTGGGTTTGAACCACCAACATTGTAATTTGCAGTCCAGTGATTATCCTACAGAGTCATACCATGAGTCTATAAATTTATAGGAGCAGTAAATCTTATTATCTTTTCATTTATTTTATCCATGAACTCTTTTTTTGTTTGCTGTTGTGAATTGTGTGAAGGTTTACAGAGCAGATCATGAATTTTACAATAAAATATGTATACACTTTTTTATCACCTCATTATAGCAATCCCCTCAATGTAACATCTTTTGTACCACTTTCTCTCTGTAATTCCTGTTTCTATTCCTCTTTTTGTTTTTTAACCTAAGTCTTCTTAATTTTGATCTTGGGTAAATGCTGCCCTAATTAGAAGCATTTGAAAAACGTAATCAGTTCTCCTTGAAACACTTTTATTACTTCTTCAGTCTGGTACTGTCCTACTTAGTTTTTCTCCTAGTTCTCAGGTTACCATCAATTGGTTTCCTTTACCAATTCTTCCTTATTGCTTCCATTTTTATATACCATAGTTTCCTAATCTTGGAGCTCTGGTCTTTCTTTCATATACCTCACCTCTTCTGTGAGATTATCTTTTTTTTTTGACTTTAATTGATATCCTTTTGCTGAGGACCCATACATTTATATCGTGAACAAAACTTTAACATTGGATTTAAGACCCGTATATGCAATTGTCTATGGTACCTATACTTAGATATCTAATAGCACAGACTATTTCACAAGTCAACATTGAACTTTTCGTCTTTTCTTTTTCAGTTATTTTTCTCGTTTTAGTTATTGGCAACTCCTTCTTTCTAGTTGTTGAGGATCCAAGCTTAGATTCATCTTATCTGCTCTTTCTCTCAAACCTATCAGCAAATTCTATCAGCAAATCCTATAAGCTCTAACTGGGTATTCCAACTCTATTGCTATAATACTGTTCTATGACATCGTAACTCCTTATCTGGTTTATTGTTGATTTTAAACTTGCCCTTTCAGACTATCCTCAGTGGGATGTTAGAATGATTTATTTCAATGTCATGCTACTCCACCTTTCAAGATTTTCTCAGCTGCTACAGAGTAAAAGCCGGCGTCCTCATAATTACCTTGAGAAGTAGCATATCTGGTCTCTTTTACCTTCTAGATTGTATTTCCTACTAAATTTCCTTCACACAATCCTGTCTAGTCATGTTGGTCTTGACATTTTCTGACAATTCTAAGAAATTTTGTACATCATGATATTTGTAATTGTTTTTCTCCTAGAACATATTTTCTCCGGATATCTTATGCATTATTCTCTTACATAATTCTGAATTGTGTGTGTTAAAAACAGCAATTCCTTAATTTTGCTGTTGTTGTTAAGTACTGTTGAGTTAATTACGATTCAGTGTAATGACCCAGGCTATGGTTCCTGAAGAGCAACTGGTAAATTTGAAACACCAGTGTTGGTGCTGGCAGTTCAGTGCTTGTCCTACCACACCAGGACTCAGTGTTGTCTGATGTAAAAGTGCAGTTACTCCACATTGACACTACCTATTTCTATGGTATAACTTTTTCTTAAATATAACTTATTGCTATCTGTGCAGTGTGTGTCTTGTCTATTTAGTTCACACACATGGACTTGTCACCTATAACAGGATCTGACTTACAGAAATAATGCATTTGTTGAAATGTGAAATATGTAAATGAAGGAATGGCAATGGAGAAAAGGAGATAGACAGAAAAATTCTATTTCCTTACTACCAAATGCTCCTTTGGAAAATTTTATTTTGCTCCTAATATAACTTTGAAAGAGTAAGTTATATGTAATGTTAAGTTATATGTGTTATTACTTTAATTAAGTTATGTTAATCACAGATACTATTACATTAAAATAAATCAGAGCTGGAAAAAATTTACAAAGTCTTAAACTCAAACAAAAAAATGTCATTGAGTTAGGTGGTTCAATAAGCACACATCTGTCAATTTGAGACTTTAGGATAAAGATTTGGAGCAAAATAAATTATTCCTATGTTTGCTATGTTACCAAAATATGTTGAATTTCTCACAAATTTCAGTTTAGTATATTTGTAATTAATATTTTTATTTGATACATATTTTACAATTAAGTTTTTGTTAGACTTTGAAACTTTTAGGAAGAATAAGCAAATCTTGACTATTAATGGAGAGATTAAAGATTGTACAAATACTACGTAAAATATTGAAAGCAAGCCAATTCTTTTAGGGAATCCTGAATTATGTCAAACTGAGAGATATGACTGAAGCAGCCTGTAAATAAATAATAGAATTGTTAAATAATAGAATTATTGTCCTCTGAACTTAAACTTTTGAGAAGTGATATAAGGTCCAATTGAAAAGCCTTTTTTTTTGGGGGGGGGGGTGTCTTTTTAGCAAATTCTCTACTTTGTTTGTCCTTATACTTTTGCCCTCATCAACAATTTATGACTAATGCAAAGTCACTGAAAACAAGTTCAAGAGGCATCTTTCAATGTCTGTTGAAATGAAATGAAATGGCTTAAGCCGTTTGATAAGCATTTATATATATTTATATGAATTCATATAATATATTGATTTCAAGAATTATATGTCCATTAAGAATTATAACTACTCCTATGGAGGAAGTTTCCGTAAGTATGTTTTTAAAAAAATGAGAATTATATTAGAGTGTCCTCTGGGTGTATGTGCAACTGAATATTTTGATAAATTTCATGAATCTTTCATTGTAATGATACTTTGAATCAGACTGTAGATCAAATATTTGCTTGCAAATCCTGATCTACTTCTTCTGTTTTACTTCCAGCAGGAAAAAAGCCAAGAAAGTTCAAGAATCAAAGGTAAGATATGAATGTTTTAAGATTATACTTAAATTAATTGATAGAAGTACAGACAAAAATAAGAGCATTTACACTATTTTGACAAGAGAGTTAAAATGAGAAAATAATGATAAATCAGAATTTTTAAATGATTTTAAAGTCATTGAGGGCCCTTTGGGAATTCTCTAGGACCATGGAAGATTCTTTGTTTATGTGGTCCTCCTGTATATGCTGTTTTTGAAAACATCAACAGAATGTTCTATTAAATCCCTAGATTGTTTAGCTGAAATTTCTCCATCAGGCATTGTCTTTAAAATGTGGCTATTTTTTAGCATCAGCAAATTAGCATAATAATCTTTTCTATGTATGATTCATGGAGAAAAACTAGTCAATTCTATCTTATGCTTTCTATGAATAAATTTCCTAATATATGTATATATGTATATGTATATTTATGCATATACCAATGGGGAATAGTTCTTAGAAAGGCATTGTCTTTTAAATGTGGCTATTCTTTAGCATCAGCAGGTTAGCATATTCTAAGTTATGACTCATGGAGAACACTGCATAGTCGTTTTAACTGCAATGTCGGTGGTTCAAGCTTACCAGCTGCTCCTTGGAAACCTTATATAGGACTGCTATTGGTCCGAATCGACTCGACGGCACTTAACAGCAGCAACAATATTTTATGCTTTCTATGAACAAATCAGAAAATATTTATGTATATACCAGAAGTTGGGAATGGTTCTTAGCATTACTGGACCTCCATACGGAAAATAGTTTCCCTGTAATTCATTAGGGAGTCATGATGTGGCATTGGGGGTTAATGCCCCAGACCTCAAAGCCGTTTGAAGGTCGGTGGTTCGAGCTCACCAAACGCTCCTCGGAAACCCTATACAGGGTCGCTATGGGTTGGAATCAACTCCACGCACTTAACAACACCAACAATTTCCTTATAGAAACATTCTTAAGTTTTGAAGTTCAATTATTGAGATAATAAATTACTCCAGATAGATTACAATCTTTTAACGAAAGGTTTCCATGAACATTTGCTGTTGTTGATATTAATGATAGAACTTCATAGTTCTATGTCCTGAGTTGCAGCCTTGTTGGACTCTCCATTCACCTGTATGATCATCTACAGTTTGAATCTTCCTGAATGTGTGTGGCTCAAGACTGATTATGAGTCCAACACAATATTCCTGTATTTTTACTTCCCTCCTTTCTTCTGAAAAAGTCTGCTTAGAGTTCTACACAAATAAAAATAAGTTGTGGAGAATTTGCTAAAGTTATATTTGGTGAAAGAACAATTATATTTATAATGGCTTTCTTGATTGGTAATACAAATTTTACTTATTTATAACAAGTCAAAACTTAATCCTCTCTATACAATTTCTATCAACAGACTGACTTCAATAAAAAATATCCTTGGGTTCAATTATCTCTGTAGGTCTATCTCCCTGAATAATAAAAGAAGCAATACATTTAAAAAAAATATTTTTGGATATATTTTACTCAAATGATGTATGTAAGACTACCCTTCAGGGATTCCTAATCTATATGTTCTCAGCAAACTAAAGGATGCCTTATTATTTTATATGTGAAATTATTAGATTTATTTATTCTTAAAACACTAATTTTAACTCAAAGTTTTATTTTTGTGCTACAAAAGGGAATTTCATTTCCAAAATATGCTGTATGATATGCATTTAAAAGATATATGCATTTCAAGCATAAAGTATATATACCTTTTACTCACGATGGTTCCAGTGTTTCAGGTTAATCTTAAATTATATTTTTGTTATAGTAGAAGTAATTTTTGTGTGTAACATTTCTTGATATATTATTGCTTTGGGCTACATAAAATATATCACCTGAATTAGTAGACATTACATTTCCCCAGCTATCAGGAATAATGCTTTTCTTTCTCTCTCTCTCTCTCTTTTTTTTTTTTTTGCAATGCAATAAAACATAATAATGATGTTCATCTTTTCCTTCAATGTTATTGACAGGTGATTTAGACCTTCCAGTTACATCATCATTACATTTACACTGCTGAGTTTTAAGTTTGTCATATATGTGTCATAACAATAAATATGAGGTGCCCTTCAGTTGGTTTCCAACTCATCATGACCTTATGCATAACAGACCAAAGCACTGTTGGGTCCTATGCCATCTTCACAATTGTTATGTTGAGCTCATTGTTGCTGCCATTATGTCAATATTATTATGAAATGAAATCTTAGACAACTTTAATCTTTTCTTCATTTATCATGATGCAATTTATTGGCTCAGTTGTGATTTTTTTGTTGTTGTTTTCTTTACACTGAGATGTAATTTACATTGAAGGCTATAATCTTTGGTCATCATCAGTAGGTATTTCAGGTACTCTTCACCTCCAGCAGGTAAGGTTGTGTCACCTGTGCTTCAAAAGTTGTTAATGAGTCTATCTCCAAACCTGATGCCACATTCTTTTTTTATGTAATCCAGCATCTCAGAATATTTGCACAGCATACATACTGAATAAGTATGGTGAAATAATTTAATCCTGATGCACACCTTTAATGATTTTAAACCATTCAGTATCAACTTATTCTCATTGAACAATTGCCTCTTAATGCAACTAAACTATAGGTTCCCCTTGAGCACAATTATGTGTTATAGAATGAATACCCATACTTAATGACGTTTTCCATAGTTTGTTATGATCCAAACAATTGAATACCTTCACATAGTCAATAAAGTACAAATATCTTTCTGGTATTCTCTGCTTTCAGCTTAGATCCATCTGACGTCAGCAATGATATCCCTAGTTTCATGTCATCTTCTGAATCAGGTTTGAATTGCTGGCAGCTTCCTGTCATTGTATTGCTGCAACAGTCATTGCATTATCTTCACTAAAATTTTACTGGCACTTAATATTAATGGAATTATTTTATGATTCCCTATTCCACTGGGTCACCTTTCTTTGGAATGTCTTTCTTTGGAAGGTCTTTTTCAATTGGTTGGCTAGTTAGTTGTCTTCCAAATATCTTTGCAGAGATGCTTCAGTTTTTCCACTTTTAGAGATTATTGAGTGTTTCCAGCTTGTTGAAACATTTCAGTTTTCATTCCATCAATTTTTTATTCTTCACCAACATCTGCATTGCAGGTTGGATGTCTTCTTTCAATATCATCAGGTCTTAATCATATGTTACTTTTTTAAATGCTTGAACATTTACCAATTCTATTTGGTACAGTGACTGTGTATTCCTTCTAATTTCTTTTGATGCATTCTGCACCATTTTATGTTTTGCCCAGAGAACCATTCAATACTCTAGCCAAATGCTTGGATTTTTCCTGCAGTTCTCTCAGTTTGATAGATGTTTACTGTATCCTTTCCTTTTGGTTTTCTAACTCGAAGTCTTTGTACATTTCATTATAATGTTTGATTTTGTCTTTTCAAGCTGCCCTTTGAAAATTTTTGCTCAGGTCTTTTACTTATTCATTTCTTTAAAACACTTTTGCTTCTCTATGCTCAAGAGCAAGTTTCAAGGACTCTACTGGCATCCACTTTGGTCTTCCTTTTTTCCTATCTTATTAATGACCTTTTGTTTTCTTCATTTCTGATGTTCTTAATGTCATCCCCAAATTCTTATAATCTTTAGTAATTTTACCTAATGCATCTATTCTTTAATTCAGGTGGAATGCACTCAAAGTTATATTTTGACTCTCACGGGCTTGTTTTTATTTTATTCAGCATCATCCTGAAAATTCATGAGCAACTGATAATACATTTTACAACCAGACCTTGGTCTTGTTTTGGCTGATGATATTGTGCATCTCCATCATCTCTACCTATAGATGTAGTCAATGTGATTCCTGTGACTGCCATCTAGAGAGATCCATGTATATAGTTACTGTTTATATTGTTCAAAAAGTTTTACAGTGTGTAAGTTATTGGCCTTGAAATTTTCTGTAATGAATCTCCAGTATCATTTCTATCACTGACTACTATTATTTCTCTTTGTTCCCAATTTTCACATTCCAGCCACCAGTAATTATCAATGCATCTTGATTGCATGTTTGATCAATTTCAGTCTCTTCATCACTGGCTTTAGTGATTAGTGTACACATTTTCATAATAGCAGTATTGACTGTTATTCCTTATAAGTGTATGGATATTATCCTATCACATGCAACATTGTACTTCAAGTTAGATCTTGAGATAGTCTTTTTGATGATGAATGTAACACCATTCCTCTTCAATTTCTTGCTGTTCTTAGCTTAGATAAAATGACAGAAGAATGGTGGCTATATATGTATTGTTGCTGACAAATGCTAAATAGTTGTTTTCAACACACAGAAACTCTGTATAGGGTTTCTGTGGCTATAAATCTTTGCAGGAGCAGAAAGGTTCATCTTTTTTCCTGCAGAGCAACTAGTGAGCTCTAACTGCCAAATCTGTGGATCAAAATCAAGTGTTTTTTGTACACAGGCACTGTATATGTATATATGTGTGTGTACAGGATTACAATGAATCCAAACTGTATGCATATCTGTGTGTGCGTGTGTGTGTGTATACTTAGTCAGGTAAGAAATTATATATACATGCACACATGCACACACAGATATGCATACAGTTTGGACTCACTGCAATCCTGTATATGGTTTCTGAGGAGCAGTTGGTGGGTTTGAACTGGTGAACTTCTAGTTGGCAGTCCAGTGATAATCCTATAGCTCTGAGTAGATATGTTTATATATGTGTATGTATATATGTGTACAGAAATGCATGGTGGTGGTGGTGGTGATGTGCCATGGAGTCGGTTCCAACTCATAGTGACCCTGCATAGCGTTTCCAAGGCTCCTGTAAATCTTCACAGGAACAGAAAGCCTCATCTCTCTCCCAGGGAGCATCTGGTATATTTAGACTTGCAGTTAGCAGTTCAGCTTATAATTCACTGTGCTACCAGGATTCCTTATGTATATGTATACATATAACCCATACGTGTGCTGTTATTAGATGCTTTTGAATTGGTACT